TATAAGTCTGTGTGTGTGTTACCGTGCGCTCCGCTCAGCAGGACTCTGGTCTGTGTGTTCAGGAAGCTCATAGTGATGCTCAAGAGCTGCTCACAGAACTGTTGACTCTGAGCTTCAGTGTGTGTGTCGCGAATCGCAGAGCGCAGGAGATCCAGGGCAGGACACAGAGCTTCGATACCTGAAACACACACACACACACACACACACACACACACACACACACACACACACACACACACACGCACACACACACACACACACACGCACACACACACACACACACACACACACACACACAGAGACATACAGACACACATATACTGAAGCAGATATTTTGTGACTGATCATATCTGATGAGGTTGTGCGGTAACTGAGGTGTTTTCTGCAGCGGGTGGAAGTGTGTCTTACTCCGCAGATGAGTGTGTGTGTTGGAGGAGGACGGAGGAGGATCTCCTGGACTGAAGCCGGATGAAGAACTCAAGATGTTCTCTTTACTCTTCAGGAAGAAATCCACTGTGTCCAGCTGATGGTTCTTCAGACCCGCCTGAACACACACACACACACACATGAACAAAGGCACACAAACACACACTCAAAAAATGTTCCATCTGTCATTTATTTTAGCATCACTAAGACACCACTGTTTTATATTAATGCAGGGCGTGTATAGGGATTGAACAGCGACCCCATGCGTTCAGATGGGGAAGTGGATGAGTGTGTGTGTGTGTACCTGCAGGGCGTGTATAGGGATTGAACAGCGCCCCCATGTGTTCAGATGGGGAAGTGGATGAGTGTGTGTGTGTGTGTACCTGCAGGGCGTGTATAGGGATTGAACAGCGACCCCATGTGTTCAGATGGGGAAGTGGATGAGTGTGTGTGTGTGTACCTGCAGGGCGTGTATAGGGATTAAACAGCGCCCCCATGTGTTCAGATGGGGAAGTGGATGAGTGTGTGTGTGTGTACCTGCAGGGCGTGTATAGGGATTATACAGCGCCCCCATGTGTTCAGATGGNGAAGTGGATGAGTGTGTGTGTGTGTACCTGCAGGGCGTGTATAGGGATTGAACAGCGCCCCCATGCGTTCAGATGGGGAAGTGGATGAGTGTGTGTGTGTGTGTACCTGCAGGGCGTGTATAGGGATTGAACAGCGCCCCCATGCGTTCAGATGGGGAAGTGGATGAGTGTGTGTGTGTGTACCTGCAGGGCGTGTATAGGGATTAAACAGCGCCCCCATGTGTTCAGATGGGGAAGTGGATGAGTGTGTGTGTGTGTGTACCTGCAGGGCGTGTATAGGGATTGAACAGCGCCCCCATGCGTTCAGATGGCAGAGTGAATCCACTGTTCCTGCGCTGCCGAACACCATCAGTCTGTTGAGCAGCTCGTCCTGAGAAACACAGAACAGCACCACCGACAGACCCGACGCTGCCAGAACAACAACAAAAGCAGGATCAAATTACAGACATATTTAATGCATACCTGACACAGACACCCCAAGTTGGAAAAATTCATTTCCGGGGGATACAGAGTTGATTTGCGGGAGGTAGCGGATTAGTGGGTGGTCGAAGACCGTTGTGGGGGGGGGGTAGTGAGCGACGTATCTGTGAGGGGGGGCGTGTGCGCGCGAGACATACTAGAAGAGCGGTGGGGGTGAGTTGCGCGTGACGTACCTGAAGAGCTAGTAGGGATGCAGTGGAGAGAGGGGTGTGCAACATATTTAAGGACCGGGCAGGAGACGTGCGATATCCGGGAGATTATCATTCATTTGCGGTCATCCGGGAGTGTCTATGCATTTCAGGGATACTCACGCAACTTCCGGGAGACTTGGGATGTCTGCTGACAACATTTGTCGAAATTCTGGGAGACTGGGGGAGGGGTGGTTGTACTACTACTGATGTTTGAAAAAGGTTTAAAACATGATTCAAAAATTCGCAACTCCAATTCATAAGTTTAAAACACGATTCGAAATTTCGCTACTTCAATTCATAAGTTTAAAACACGATTCAAAAATTTTGCAACTCCAATTTGTATGTTTAAAGCACAACTCATAAATACGCAACTCAAATTCAGAAGTTTAAAACACGATTCAAAATTCGCAACTACAATTTATACGTTTAAA